AGACTCTCCACTAACAGAATAAATATCCACTGTAGTTATCTGGTTTGTAAAGGACAGGGAATGCCCAAGCTTTTTCCGAGAGGCGAGTTTCCAAAAGGAGTTAAGGCTTTTTGGAAGCGACGGTCATCACTCTTTTCGCAGCTCAAAGTCGTTCAGAACCGCTCTATGAATGTGGCTATAGACTTTGTGCTTGACCAGACTGGATTTGAAGGAAACCTGGTGCCGGACATTTCTCTTCTCAAAGGATGATGTGACGCGATATGTCAATCTCAGGTGAAGCACAGGTATCTCCATCTTCATGCTATCGAAATAGTCCGTCGAATTTTCACCTGGATCGGAATTTGTATCCCCCAACAAACCAAGCACTCGTTGAGTACTTGCTTAGGCATCAAAGGTTAGGAGGTCAAAGCTCATTGTCAAAGGATTGTTGATTGTTGCAAGAACAATTCTTCTTTGTTGATGTTCATCTGGTGGACCTGCGGACAGCCGGGCCGTTTTTTGCTGTCCAGCACATCGGATGCGCCGGTTCTGTCTTGCACACAAAGGCTGACTGGCGGCTACCAGTCATGCAGCACACAAAAGAGGGGTTGATTCCTGCCACGAAAGCAACCCAAAGTGAATTTCAGGAATGGCTGTTCAAGAGCCCCACCCACATCCCACAAGTCGCACAAGCGAGCAAAGCAAAGCCATAAATTGCAAAGCAACGCTTTTCTCCCAGACCCTTGCAGACCTTGAATCTAGCCTTGTCACAAAATCCGAGTGGTTCTCGAGCCACTTGAGCAGCTCTTATCATCTACAACCAGTTGAAGAGAGGTTAATGTCTTCGCGAAAGTCATGCAGGCGCAAGAGATGTGTGAAAGATTTGACGAGCTTTTCATGCACAAAAGCTGGCGAAAGCGTTGTTCAGCTTGCAAAATCAGTTCTGTTTGCGAAAGCTTGCAAAAGTGTCCGAAACATTGAAATCTCATGTCCAGGTAGTTCCAATCCTCCTCCCCGAGCTGCCGTATCTAGGCCTGAGTTGCTTGCGCTTTTTGACGACTGCTTCGACCTTTTGAACAAGCACACCGCATGTGTTTGGCCAAAACTTGCTGGCACTGGTCTTGACCAGTCTCGACCACGTGAGTGAGGCGGTTTGTAGTAGTTTGGAGGTTGCTGCAACCGTTTCAGCAAAATCCGTGTCAGCAGTATGTGGGGAACACTGCACATTTGAGTCAAACACATAGCCATAGCGTTCTGGGGCTGCTGAAACTGTTACTGTAGCTTTCCACTTGTTCTATCCGTCCCACATGTTGGACAGCCCTGGACACACAGGTCCACCAGCAATGCAATCACCCCTGAAAACACGTGGCACTCATAGACAGCCACCACTCTCAAAGTTCACAATGAATTAAGTCACGTCAATACAGTCGGACAAATGTCCCAGGTTGCCAACGGTCTTTGCCGTCCAAAAGGAGGTGGCCAAAACATTCAAGCTCATCGGAAAAGTAGGGCCGGGCCTTACGGATAGATCCTTTTGGCAACGCTCTCCCACATTTGTGGGCCCACGTGGAATCGTGGGAGCCAGGGATCATGGATTGTGCATTGGCCGAAAAAACGATGCCAGCCGCACGCGAACCAAGACTTTCTGAATCTGGGCGACTGTCACATTCGGCTCCGAAAGTTTTTCAAGCGAACGTTTCTGCCGGCAAAAAAGGAATGCAAGTTCAATATAAGAGACCGACAGGTTGTCTTCCTCCTTCAAGCAACCGTTTCAGCAAAATCCGCGTCAGCAGTATGTGGGGAACACTGCACATTTGAGTCAAACACATAGCCATAGCGTTCTGGGGGGTGCGCAAGGAAAGCAGACCTCATGGCAAAGTCCGTCTCACTGTAACTCCATGTGAGCAGCGGCCAAAACTGCCAATAACTTGGAATACTGCTTGCTGATGCATTTGAATGCAAGATAATGCAAGTATGAGATCGAACATGTCAGAACAGCGCATTAAGTTGCGGACAATGCGGTTCTTCTGAGAGTTCTCACACGTGAGCCTTCGATGTCCAACGCGAGGCCCAACGATCCTGACATTCGAGACAGCTGCCTTTCAGCTCGATCACCTTTGGACCAAGCTATATGTTTCACAGTCCGAACATCGAGCAGATTTTTGAGAGCGGGTGTGCTTGGGAGAGCATACACTATAGCTCAAAATACCTGGTGAAAGTTCAAAACTGTTTTGAAACCTGGGCAAAGTGCAATCCATTTTCCTGCGCTGACCAAAGCTGGATTTGTTGATAGGTAGGAGGTGATTGCACCCGCGGCATAATATTGTGATGCACCTGGGGCAAGCCTGACAAGGCTTGCTTGAGTTGCCGCGCTGACTGACAAAAACTCAGGGTGCCTGATTTGCAATGTGAGAAAAAGATCGGTGCGCTGTGCACAAGTCCCGTCCAGCATTCACTGCCATTCATCACTGAAACCTCCCACCAATTTGCAGCTGCCGGGCATGCTGGTTGGAGGCAGCCCTATCATTGGATGCTTTCACAAGGAAGGCAAAGGAAAGGGTGTTGCTTTCCAGGGGGGGTGCTACGCCGATTAAGTACCCACCACAATATCAAATTCACTGTAACTCCATGTGGGCTCACTTGCAAGATGATCAGCTTCTTGACGGAGGCACGCTGGTGCTGCTGTTCACAAACCCCGAGCTGCTATATCTAGGCCTGAGTTGCTTGCGCTTTTTGACGACTGCTTCGACCTTTTGAACGAGCACACAGCATGTGTTTGGCCAAAACTTGCTGGCGCTGGTCTTGACCAGTCTCGACCACGTGAGTGAGGCGGTCTGTAGTAGTTGGGAGGTTGCTGCAACCGTTTCAGCAAAATCCGCGTCAGCAGTATGTGGGGAACCCTGCGCATTTGAGTCAAACACAACCATAGCCATAGCGTTCTGGGAGTGCACAAGGAAAGCTTGGAACCAGATCCAGAGCTGCCTTTCAGCTCGATCACCTTTGGACCAAGCTATATTTCACGTAGTCCGAACATCGAGCAGATTATTGACAGCGGGTGTGCTTGGGAGAGCATACACTGTAGCTCAAAATACCTGGTGAAAGTTCAAAACTGTTTTGAAACCTTGGCGAAGTGCAATCCATTTTCCTGCGCTGACCAAAGCTGGATTTGTTGATAGGTAGGAGGTGATTGCACCCGCGGCATAATATTGTGATGCACCTGAGGCAAGCCTGACAAGGCTTGCTTGAGTTACCGCGCTGACTGACAAAAACTCAGGGTGCCTGACTTGCAATGTGAGAAAAAGATCGGGGCGCTGCACGCAGCCCTATCATTGGATGCTTTCACAAGGAAAGCAAAGGAAAGGGTGTTGCTTTCCAGGGGGGTGCTACGCCGATTAAGTACCCACCACAATATCCAATTCACTGTAACTCCATGCACTTGCAGATCAGCTTCTTGACAAAGGCGCGCTGGTGCTGCTGTTCGCAAACCCCGAGCTGCCGTATCTAGGCCCGAGTTGCTTGCGCTTTTTGACGACTGCTTCGACCTTTTGAACGAGCACATCGCATGTGTTTTGCCAAAACTTGCTGGCGCTGGTCTTGACCAGTCTCGACCACGTGAGTGAGGCGGTCAGCAAAATCCGCGTCAGCAGTATGTGGGGAACCCTGCGCATTTGAGTCAAACACAACCATAGCCATAGCGTTCTGGGAGTGCACAAGGAAAGCTTGGAACCAGATCCGGACCTCATGGCAAAGTCTGTATGATGCAGCAGACGATCACTTGTTTCAGCCAAAAAGCGCACCATGGTGGAACCTCTGCACGGACTAAAAGGTGGGTCAGATCAGCAAGTGGAGTGAGTGTATTGGACGGCTACAGTGTCAAAACCAGTGTGCGAAAGGATCCACCATCACTGCCAATAACTTCGAAGACTGCTTGCGTTTCAAGATATTCAGCTGAAGCCTTTGGATGTATTTGAATGCAAGATAATGCAAGTATGAGACCGAACATGTCAGAACAGCGCATGAAGTTACCGACAATGCAGTTATTCTGAGAGTTCTCACACGTGAGCCTTCGATGTCCAACACGAGGCCCATCGATCGTGACATTCGAAGCAGCTGCCTTTCAGCTTGACCTTTGGACCTATCTAGGTCCAGAGGAAGGCCCGTGGCCAAGCTATTTTTCACGTAGTCCGAACATCAAGCAGATTTTTGAGAGCGGGTGTGCTTGGGAGAGCATACACTAGCTCAAAATACCTGGTAAAAGTTCAAAAGCTGCTCTGAAAGCAACCCAAAGTGAATTTCAGGAATTGCTGTTCAAGAGCTCCACCCACATCCCACAAGCTTGCGAAAGCAAAGCTTTTCATGCACAAAAGCTTGCGAAAGCTTTGTTCAGCTTGCAAAATCAGTTGAGTAGCGTTTTTTTATTGCATGATAAAATTTAGATTAGACTGTAACTCCACAAGTGTTTGCGAAGGCATTTGTGTGATACATTGTGTGTAGCGAAGGCTCGCGAAGCCTTTGGCGTAACCGCGAAAGCATTTCGCGAAGCCTCTGGTGTTGCGCGAAGCCTCGCGAAGCCACCCTTCCCACAAATTCTGACCATGCGAAACCTCCAGCGTAGGCAACCCAGCAGTGTATAAGCACTTTACCTTTTAAAAAAACACGGCTCAGTTCTGTTTGCGAAAGCTTGCAAAAGTGTCCGAGAAATTAGATGTTCAGCTGAAGCCTGAAAGCAAGATAATGCAAGTATGAGCTCGAACATGTCAGAACAGCGTATGAAGTTACCGACAATGCAGTGATTTTCTGAGAGTTCTCACACGTGAGCCTTCGATGGCCAACACGAGGCCCATCGATCGTGACATTCGAAGCAGCTGCCTTTCAGCTCGACCTTTGGACCTATTTAGGTCCAGAGGGTCCAGAGGAAGGCCCGTGGCCAAGCTATTTTTCACGTAGTCCGAACGTAGCAGATTTTTGAGAGCGGGTGTGCTTGGGAGAGCATACACTAGCTCAAAATACCTGGTAAAAGTTCAAAAGCTGCTCTGAAACCTGGGCGAAGTGCAATCCATTTTCCTGTACCCAATATAATCTCCATGTCCAATCTCAACATTCGACATGTCACAGACAGTGCCTGACCAAAGGTGCGTGCAGTCCAGGAAGTGCTTTGCCACCAAAGCTGGATGTGTTGATAGGTGGGAGGTGATTGCACCCGCGGCATAATTTTGTGATGCACCTAAGGCAAGCCTGACAAGGCTTGCTTGAGTTGCCGCGCCGACTGACAAAAACTCAGGGTGCATCAGGGTGCCTGATTTGCAATGTGATAAAAAAATTGGTGCGCTGTGCACCTCGGCGCGCCGCTCAGAACGTTTGGGCTTTACACGGCTTTTCACAAGTCCCGTCCAGAATTCACTGCCATTCATCACTGAAACCTCCCACCAATTTGCAGCTGCCGGGCATGCTGGTTGGAGGCAGCCCTATCATTGGATGCTTTCACAAGGAATGCAAAGGAAAGGCGGTTGCTTTCCAGGGGGGTGCTATGCCGATTGAGTACCCACCACAATATCAAATTCACTGTAACTCTATGTGGGCTCACGTGCAAGATCATCAGCTTCTTGACGAAGGCACGCTGGTGCTGCTGCTCGCAAACCCCGAGCTGCCGTATCTAGGCCTGAGTTGCTCGCGCTTTTTGACGACTGCTTCGACCTTTTGAACAAGCACACAGCATGTGTTTGGCCAAAACTTGCTGGCACTAGTCTTGACCAGTCTCGACCACGTGAGTGAGGCGGTCTGTAGTAGTTGGGAGGCCGCTGCAACCGTTCCAGCAAAATCCGCGTCAGCAGTATGTGGGGAACACTGCACATGTGAGTCAAACACAACCATAGCCATAGCGTTCTGGGGGTGCTCAAGGAAAGCTTGGAACCAGATCCTGGCAAAGTCCGTATGATGCAGCAGATAGTCCGATCACTTGTTTCAGCCAAAAAGCGCACCATGGTGGAACCTCTGCACGGACTAAAAGGTGGGTCAGATCAGCAAGTGGAGTGAGTGTATTGGACGGCTACAGTGTCAAAACCAGTGTGCGAAAGGATCCACTATCACTGCCAATAACTTCGAAGACTGCTTGCGTTTCAAGATATTCAGCTGAAGCCTTTGAATGTAGTTGAATGCAAGATAATGCAAGTATGAGATCGAACATGTCAGAACAGCGCATGAAGTTACCGACAATGCAGTTATTCTGAGAGTTCTCACACGTGAGCCTTCGATGTCCAACACGAGGCCCATCGATCGTGACATTCGAAGCAGCTGCCTTTCAGCTCGACCTTTGGACCTATTTAGGTCCAGAGGAAGGCCCGTGGCCAAGCTATTTTTCACGTAGTCCGAGCATCGAGCAGATTTTTGAGAGCGGGTGTGCTTGGGAGAGCATACACTAGCTCAAAATACCTGGTAAAAGTTCAAAAGCTGCTCTGAAAGCAACCCAAAGTGAATTTCAGGAATGGTTGTTCAAGAGCTCCACCCACATCCCACAAGCTTGCGAAAGCAACGCCATAAATTGCAAAGCAACGCTTTTCATGCACAAAAGCTTGCGAAAGCTTTGTTCAGCTTGCAAGATCAGTTCTGTTTGCGAAAGTGCAATCCATTTTCCTGTACCCAATATAATCTCCTTGTCCAATCTCAACATTCGACATGTCACAGTGCCTGACCAAAGGTGCGTGCAGTCCAGGAAGTGCTTTGCCACCAAAGCCGGAACCTCGGCATAGCATTACGATGCACCTGAGGCAAGCCTAACAAGGCTTGCTTGAGTTGTAGCGCTGACTGAGAGAAGCTCAGGGCGCCTGATTTGCAAGGTGAGATAAGGTGAGAAAAAGATCGGTGCGCTGTGCACCTCGGCGCGCCGCTCAGAACGTTTGGGCTTTGCACGGCTGATGTGATGTTGTCCGGTGTTCAGCTCCGATGTGATTTTGGAGGGCGGCGGTCAAGTCAACGTCGATTGTAACGGTAAAAGTATGTAATCTAATCTGCTTGGAGTTGTTTTGCGTGTCATTCTCTTAGTTAGAGCAGTTCTTGAACAGTTTTGCGCATGCTTGAGTGCTTTAAGCTCGATACCTTACAGCATCTTGCGTGGGAATGGCTTGTTACAGGAATGGCAGCAGGGGGCTGGTCGGTAGTTGGGTGAAAGATATGAATGCTGCCAAAGGTCGTGCAGAGTTCGTGTAGTGCAGAGCCGTGCCAATCACTTGGGATTGTTACGAAAGCCAGCCTTCGCAGAAGGCGCCAGCTGAGAGGCGAACGAAGTGAGTAGTTATAAGGGGTCTGGGGAGGTGGCCCGCAAAAGGTACACGTAAACTCGGCACATGCTGGGGGAGGAGGGTGGACGGATGGAAGGTTTTTTGAGGTTGTGTTGGAGGTGACTTTTGAGGGGTGGTGATGCAAGAAATGCAATTTGCATCATTTGCATCATCTGAATGGTAAGGTGTAGTTGGCACCTTGCCAGGTATAGATACCCAGGGTAGCTATAGTGCAGTTACCAGGTATAGTACTTCAAGTTCCCTTTCCATCAACCGCTCGATAACCTTTACACACGCACAGCAATCCGCAGCTTTGAAGTCTCATTCTTGCATTGAACTTAGATAGGCGTGTAAGAGGTATAGAAACATAGCATGTATACCGACCCAGGGTAGCTACAATTCTGTTGCCAGGTATCCCATTTCAATTTCCCTACCCTGGGTCCGCGCAACTCAGGGTATACCTGGCAACTGCCTTGCAGCTGCCGTGGGTCCGCGCGCGCGCCCACGCGCCTAGGGCAGCCGGGAGCCAGCAAAGCGCGCGCGCGGACCCAGGGTAGGGAAATTGAAGTGGGATACCTGGCAACAGAATTAATGGTAGCTACCCTGGGTCCTTATAAATGCTATGTTGCTATGCCTTTAAAACACACCTATATAAGTTCAAAGCACGAATGAGACTTCAAAGCTGTGGTTTGCTGTGCATGTGTAAAGGTTATCGAGCGATGATGGAACCTGGAGGCTGCTCCATAATGGAGTAGAGGCAGGGGAACGTTTCAGTGTTGGTCTCACAGACCGATACCCGCCAGCGCAAGGGGCCCTAGCCAGAAAGCCAAAAGATTATCAATTTGAAGCACTGCACAAAATCTACTTCTATGATGCCTGGCGAACCAATCCCATCCTCAATGCGGAAGGATCCGACCTGCTCCCCCCGCCTCGGGCTGGCTTCCTCCGTGCGGGCTGTTACTGGCCTGCGCATGATGCAAGTACTATACCTGGCAACTGAATTGTAGCTACCCTGGGTATCTATACCTGGCAAGGCGCCAGCTGAGTAAGAAGGGGGGTTCGGGGGGGTGGCCTGAGAAAGCGCGCTCGAAAGTAGGTGGTGTGGAGGGTGCACGGAAGCAAGGTTTTGGAGGTGCTTTTTTGTGATTTTAAGAAATGCAATTGTCTTCAGTTGGTTGCAGTGCTATACTTGGCAACTGAATTGTAGCTACCCTGGATATACCTGGCAACTGCCTTGTAGCTGCCCTGGGTCCACGCGCGCGCGCGTCTAAATCACGGGCAGCCGGGAGCCAGCAAGGTGTGCGCGCGGGGTAGGGAAATTGAAGTGCGATACCTGGCAACAGAATTGTAGCTACCCTGGGTCGGTATACATGCTATGTTGCTATACCTCTTACACACCTATTTAAGTTCAATGCATGAGACTTCAAAGCTGTGGATTGCTGTGCGTGTGTAAAGGTTTTCGAGCGGTTGACGGAAAGGGAACTTGAAGTACTATATATACCTGGTAACTGACTTGTAGCTACCCTGGGTATCTATACCTGCGCCAGCTGAGTAAGAAGGGGGATTCGGGGGGGTGGCCTGAGAAAGCACGCTCGACAGTAAAAACGCTGGCTTTCGTTTTGCAGCTTCTCAGGTTGCAGCACGGCGTCCAGGCAGTTGCGATTCTTGCGATAGGATACGACGGAAAATATCAAAGTGACCCTGGAAGGTCGTGGTCCTCGTAGTGATGCAGGGCTGCCTCCAAGGTGCCACAGGCTGCCTCCAAGGTGCCACAGGAGGATGGCTTGGGCAATCAGGACGCCCTGCACCGGGGCAAGGCCAGCAGCATGAGTCCATGGAGGAAAAAGTGGCAAACGCCTGACTTCACCAGGGCCACAGAGGGCACTATACTTCGGGCTTGCTCCGGGCTCGCCGCGATGCGAGACACACTCACGAACTACTCGTAGTTCGTATGGTCTTTGTCTAGCCTCACGACAGACAAGAACCTATAGCACCGAAGAAGACAGCTTTGATCTTACGTAGGTTCAACTTTCTCAAGCAGATACACGGATTGGCGTCCCAAGCTGTCTTCATTGGCAGCAGAACTGTGGACTCCCTGTTGCCTCCCTTCAAGGCGACCCAGGCCAGGCCTTCAGCTTTTCACCGTCCGACGAGGTCAGCTTTTCAGCCGTCAAGTCGGGACTCCGTTCTCATTAATTGTCATGCAAGGTAGAGCGTGATGCAGTGATGCTCATCTTCATGGATTTGGGACTGCGGTTCGCCTTTGCTTTCCAGGGCGGGTGACCTCTCTTTCCTCCCTCACCTCTTATTTGCTGCGTTTCGCAGGCTGTTTATTGTTCCCTTCCTAGCTATTTCTGACACTGGGATATTTTTGTTGTTGTTTATGAAGAGATGTGTGGAACTTTCAATAACATTAGTGCGATTCTAAATGGACTGGTCGCATTTTCAAACCAACTCCTACAAATTCATGACTTCGTTATATGCCACCGGTCTCTTCACAAATTGCATTGTTGTGAACGTTTCAGGATGGAAAGTGTTGACCAGGTTTTTGCAGTGGAATGGAATATAGTTCAATGCTGCTCACCTTGTCTAAGAGAACATATATTCTGCTTGTGGTTTATGTTCAGAGTTTTGCCTTCTAGGTTTCATCGTTTTATTGTTGCATGTGTGTCCAATTTGGAACATTTGGCTCGAACTTGCCTTTTGGAGTCTTGATGAGTCTTTGATCTGGTACAGTGAGCCTAGACTCGCTGTGATTTCCAGCAACATCATGTGGGATCACTTGGCTGCCTGCCTACATCAGAGTATCCATGCGGCAATTCATCCAGCTCGGTTTCTTGCGTAGAGTTTCCTCCATAAACCCTTATCGTTTGCAGACAAAACTCAACATGCCTTGTTTCTTGATTTTTTCTAGACACCCTCCAACCAAGGCAGATGCAGCCTGTGTATGCCATTGCTTTCATCCACAACATGTCCAGATGTGAATGCAGGGCCCTGAATGCTTGAACTTCCATAATTATCCATGTATTTGCCACAATTGATGCAGATCCCCATGTTTTGCCAAGGATCTCGATGTGATTTATATCAATTCTGGCGATTTCTGGAGGTTCCTTGGACTTGACCCCAACGGAACCTGG